CTTTCCTCTTGGGTACAATGACGCTTATAACACCTACCTGGCAGGCTGTCCAACACACCTGTAATGCCCCACCCTCCATGAGATCCAGGGCCACAAACTCACCCGTCTGCTGGGAGAGCTCCTTGTGGCCATGTGGCTAGACTGAGGGGCCCATTGGCTGGTCACCCACAGCCCAGGAGCTGCTGGGAAGATGTGTCCCAGGCCTGGCTGGTAGTCGCACTTTATTGACTTTAAGTCAAGGACATGGTCCTGGAGTGGGTGGGGCAGCCTGGGAGAGGGGGGTGTCTTTGCTTGCCTGGACTCAGACCAGTGACAATCCCTGCACAAGCATGCGACCTTGAGAAGGTCATTGAACCTCTGAGCCCCTTGTTCATTTGTAAAATGTGGAGGGGGTCGTTTCCACATCCCAAAGTCAACGTGGGACCTGGCGAGTTGGCTGAGCGACACTCTGTGGTGGGTGGATCCGGGGACCACCCTTAGCTGATGTCGCAGATAGCTCTGCGGCTATCACAGACAGACCCAGAGGAGGGGGCTCTGGCCCACAGACACGCATTTTCTTCTTCACATTCTGGGGGCTGGCGGTCCACATGCAGGGCGCTGGCTCTCCATCTTCAGGCTCTGGGAGAAGACTCCCCGGCGATCTTCACATGGTGTGGTGTCTGTCCTCTCCCACCTCTGCTTGCTGCCCTATTATAACCCGCTGCTCTCTTTCTATCTCCAAGGTGTTTGGCTTAAAACACACCCTATACTGATAGGACACAGCCGAGCAACCATCGTGAAGATGGCGAGGGAGTGGGCAGTGTTTCGTTCTGTTATGTAGGGGGACTCAATTCCACAGTGCCGAACAACACTGGTAGGGCCCCGAAACATAACAGGGAAGCTCATTCCTGAAGGAGTCAGAGCCCAGGTGTGTCCTTGCGGTGATCAGAAACCACAGAGGCTGTTCGAACACACCGTGGCCCTCTGCACAATGGCACGCTGAGGTGCTGTCACTGGGCACTCACACATGGTGATGAGTATGAGGGTGATGCCCGGCCAGGTAGGTACAGGTAAAAGGTGTGGGGGCATCCATGATTCAGTCTATGTCCCTGAAGTGTCAACACTGTCCTCCACATTTATATGCTCCCTCCCCCAACCTCCCCCCACCTCGCCACTCACATTGACCATTGTCCTGCCCCTTCATCAGGTTGGGAATAAGTGAATGCCCGCTGTGGCAGTTACCGTATATCATCTCCTGTCAACCTGAGAAGGGGTGGAGTCTAGCCGGTCAATCAGGTGGCAGCTTGATGACTTCATTTGGAGGCACAATGGAGATAAATAGCTCACTGGAGGCCAGACACACTCTCCCTGCAAGACGCTGAGATGCTCCCATCACCACTGGATCCACAAGACTTCTCACCCACTGGCCTGCAATCTTCCTGCACTCAGCATCATTGCATGGCTGCATGAGTCTGAAGAGGAGTTTATGGACTAGTATCAACATATGGGGTAATAATGGATTTATGGACTTGATCTGGACTAGGCTGGGATGTTTTCTTAATATGCAATTGCTCTTTGATAGAAAGTTCTCTCTTATATACACCTATAGATCTCCCTACATTTGTTTTTCTAGTCTACCCAGACTAACACCCCCACAGCCTCCCAGGATGCCAGCTTCAGGCAGAGGTTGGAAGGATGGGATGGGATCACGGATCTGAGACACTGCAGTGGTCCCACATGAGGAACGGGGGAATGGCAATGTCGGCGACATCACTCAGTTCACAGATGTCATTTCCAAGCTCAGCATCTCCTTTTCTTGTGCGGATCCAATATGCCCCCAGGGTGCGAGGGTGGTCTTTGGAACGGCCAGTGAGGAGCGTCCAGCCAGTGCCTGCTTGAGGAAATGGAAAGGCCAGCCGCCCTCCCAGAAGGAGTCTGAAGTCTGGGAGGCACAGTCCACCTCCGCCCGGCTCCATGGAATTCCAGCAGGAAGGGACAGGCAGACATGGCTGGGGCCGGTGGGGGCGGGGGGCACATAGCGTTAGAAGCTCTGTGGAAGAGAGAACCCAGACAGAGGGGGTGGTGCCAGCTCACCCCACAAGAATGTCAAGGCAGGCGTCCAGTCCCATCACACCAGACCCTTAGAAAGTGCAGATACAAGACTCCTGCAACTGGAGGCAGAAGTGGATGGGGACCAAGAGGAGCAGAAAGAAGCAGGGCTCTGGGGGACTCTCAGCTCTCCGCAGCCTCCCACACTTAGGAAAGCAGGCCACAGGTAGCCACACCTAGAACCATCCATGCAGCTCCGCTGGCATGGCATGCTAAGGAAAAGTCCGTGAGCAGGCCAGATCTTGGGAGCTTGACTGCCTGAGTTCAAATCCCAGTTCCTCCCCTGACCACCTGTGTAAAATCAGTCAAATTCCTTAACCTCTCTGTGACTCCGTTCGCTTACATCCGTTAACTTATTTCTGGGGTTGTTACGAGGACACAAACTCAAGTCAATTCTAACTCTGAGTGACATGATAGGACAGAGTGGAGCTTCTCCAGTGGGTTTTCAAGACAGCAAACCTTTGCAGGAGTAGAAAGTATCATCTTTATCCCTCAAAGGAGAAGGTGGTTTCTAACTGCTAACCTTGCTGTTATCAGCCCAATAGGTCGCCCACTACTTCCTAGTGCTCATTATGAGAAATAAAGAAGCTAGATTTGGAAACAACTCAGGACAATCCCCACCTCACACCAAGTGCTCTATACGCGGTAGAACTACGTGCATTCAACAGCAGGCTCTCTCTTTAGCTGGAGAAAAGGGAGCTTGATTTTGGAGCCCCTGTACTCCCCAGTGGCCATCCATGAACACAAAAAGACCCTCAGCATCTTCCTAGGAGGGGATACAGGTCAGTGGCAGCCCAAGACGCAGTTGGGACACAAACTAAGGACAAGGGGATTTAGATTTGGCAGACAACAGCAATACAGCATGATGCTTTCCGCTTAAACCAACAGACTGCATTGACATCTTGGGATGTACGTTTGGTTTGCCTCCTGGGCCGTGTGCTGCCCATGGGCTATTCTACCTTCCTGGGGCCCAAAGGCTAAAGCACACCGGAGGTCAGTAAAGAAAGGGCTTCAGAGCATCCTTCCAGGGAAATGGAAACCTGTGAGGAGAAGTAACTGCCTTTGACAGCACCCCGGTTGTCACCTAAGACTGCCATTCACGAGGACCTCAAGTGGGTAGCTTTAAAGAACACGGTTGCATTCACTCTCACAGTTGGGAGACCAGGAGTTTGACGGGAAGGCATCCCAAGACCAGGATCCCTCGATGCCAGCTCTAGGAAAGAGCCTTCCTTCTACTGTGACTCTGGGTGCCATCAAGTCTGCCCCGACTCATAGCAACCTCATGGGCAACAGAACCAGACACAGCCCGGTTCTGCGCCATGCTCACAATCGCGTCCCATCCATCACGTCCAGAGTCCTCTTGCTCACTGACCCTCCGCTCCCCCAAGCATAACGTTCTTCTCCAGGAACTGGTCCCTCCTGACAACATGGCCAAAGGCTGCTGCCATAAAGTCTTGACTTCTGCACTTCCGAGGAGAATTCTGGCTGGATGGCTTTTTGTTTGTTTGTTTGTTCTATGGCCATGTGTGATAGATCCAATGTTCTTCACCAAACCATCCTTCAGAGGCACCAATCCTCCCCCAATCGTCCTCACTCCTTGCCTGGATTCACAAGGTCTTCCTCGGTGCTTCTTGGCTTGTGTCTGTCTGTCTTCCCTGTGGGTGAGCATCTACTCTATTCTTTTTATAGGAGGGTCCATGTGAAGGGGTTAAGATTAAGAACCCCAACCTCCGCCACTCTGATGTGGTGACATGAAAATAACAAAGAAAACCCCTATTCCCAAACAGGGTGCCATGATTTACCAGTTTGGGGTTAGGGCCTCCATATTTATTTGGGGGGAGGGGCACACTATTCAACCCCTAGCAGTGTGTGCCAGGCACCGGTCCAAATCTCTCAGCTGCTGTTTCAAAGGCTCCTTCCATCCATCACTCATGGGAGGCATTTGGTTCCCCACTTTTCAGACCAGGAGAGCAAGACTCGGGAAGGCCAGCCCACGGACTCAGGGTCCACAGCAAGAAAGGGACGGGCAGAGGCTAGGCTCGAGTCCAGGGCGCTCTGCTCTGAGCCAGCTGGGGGAATCACATGCCAGCAGACCTGGTGCCACCTCCCTGGAGAGCCCCAAGGTCCCAGAGGGCCGGGTGAGGTCTTCTCTGTCCTTCTCACCTGCCCCTGACCTGCCCCTCTGTCCTCAGACCCTTCGCACGGTGCGTCCTGAGCCACAGAAGACGTGGAGGGCTATGCTGTCCTTAACCACAGGTGCCCTCACCTGATGATGCCCTCACCTCGAGATGCCCTTACCTGGGGGATTCTCTGACGTGGGGGAGTTGGGTGGGTGGAGGGGACAGTTCCCTGACCTGGGGAATTTTCTCATCTGGGAATGCCCTCGCCTGATGAATGAGTGTCGTTACCTCATCTGGGGGATGTCCTCACCTGGAATGTTCTCACCTGGGAATACTCATCTGAGGAATGCCCTCACCTGGAAGCCGCTCACCTGGGGGCGGGGGCGGGAGGGGGGGGAGCGGGTGCTCACCTGGGGAGTATGGGGAGTACCCTTCACCTGAAGGCTGTTCACCTGTAGGGGGAGGGCCTGCTCACCTGGGGCGTACCCGTCACCTGAAGCCTGTTCACCTGTGGGGCGGGGTGTGCTCACCTGGGGGATGCCATACTGGTCCATGACTTGCCAGATGTACCAGTCTTCTTTCCGAGATGTTTTCCGGAAACGGAAGGTGGTGACAAAGGCGTACTCATCCGGCAAGCCCTGGGGGAACACGTCCCTGGGAGGAGAGGAGAAGGCAGCCCAGGCTCAGCAGGACACAGGGGCCGTGAAGGGGACTAGTCGGCAAGCCCACCCACCCCCCAGGGCCTCCCAGAGCTCCAGGGAAAATCCATGATCTTTTCATCCCATGTCCCACATGCTGCCTGAAGCTCCCTCATATTTCTAAACACTTCTTTGAGTCCCGGCCTTTACCACCATTTCTCAGGTGGGACTTTCAGAAGCCCCCCTGGAGACCACCGCTGTGGCCCTCCGCTGCCCCTGCTCACTCCCTGTCCCATCAGCCTCTAATGGGGTCAGACAAGGCCCCCAGAGGTCATCGCCGTGACCCCATCTCCCTTCCATTCCCCCTCCTGACACGCCCATTCCCCAAGATCACACAGAGCCCAGGAGACCCCTATCATGGGTTCACTGAGGCTCCCGGCTCCTACCCCTCCTTGCTTCATCTCCCTGGCGCCCAGGGGTCTTCTCTCCGCTAGCTCCAAGGTATCTGAGTTTGCATGGACTGGAGCTTGGCAGGATTAATGGGTGGTGATTTTAAAGAAAGATCAGCCAGGGAGTTGTAGGGATTCAACTCCGGGTTCATGGTGCAGCTGCTGCACCAAAGGGCTTTCCTGGCTTCCACTAGACTGTCCAGCCCATGGTGCCCAGGGCAGGTCCAGAAAGTGTGTGCACTCACTCAGTCCTCTGCACCACGGGATAGGACCCCATGCGGACATAGGAGCTATGAGCACCATGTTCTCTCTGCCCCAGGAGTTCCTTCACGCCGAACTGATCCATCAGGTCAAAACCTGTCCAGAGACAAGAGGTGGGTGTGAGTCTGAGGCAGAGACACAGGGAAACACACCTGCTGTGCGCACAGGCCTCGGGCTGGGGAGCGGGGACGTGGCCCCAAGCAGAGGGAGCTCAGCTATGTCCTGGAAGCCCAGCAGCTTCCATAGCAGATGCAGGAAAGCTCCGCCCCTGGACTCTCCACAGAGGCCTGAGTGGCCAGACGCCCCAGTCAGGGAGAAGGCCCAGCAGAGGTGTCATAGCTTTGGGGCTGATGCGGGGAGCCTTAGTGGGGGTTTTCAGGCCACCAGATGCAGACACCTGCTCCCCTGGGTGGGTCCCAGCATGTAGGGCTTTCTTCCTGCAGCCACATGTGCATGTTCCCAATTCCTAAGGGTTTTCTAGTGGTTATGCATTGGGCTGCTCACCAGAAGGTCAGCAGTTTGAAATCACCAGCCGCTCAGAGGGAGAAAGACGAGGCTTTCTACTCCCATGAAGAGCTGCAGTCTCAGGGATCCAGGGAGGCAGTTCTCCCTGGCCTGCAGGGTCGCTGTGAGTCAGAAATGACATGATGGTGGTGAAAGATCTACAGTCTCGGAAGTCCATGGGGCAGATCTACCCTGTCCTGTAGGGTCGCTGTGAGTCAGCAGGGACTCCATGGATGGGAGTTTGGCTTTGTCTCAGAGTTGCCCAAGCCCAAGGCTTCACGATGTTTGAGAGAGCTGAGAGGATGGGAGAGAAGCAGGCTTTTCTCCAGAAGGATTGTCCACTGAACTGTGCCCACTTTTCTTTGACCCCTCTCCCCACCTGCACAGCTACAGGTGCACTGACAGAAGTGAGAGTGTGGGGCAGGGCAGTCCAATCCAGCTCGGTTGCTCACATTCACTTTGGCTGGATGGTGAGCACTAGCTAAAAGTTTAGTGGTTCACATCCACCTCCAGGTGGCAGTGTGAAAGAGAGGCCGGTAAACTGCAGATGAAGTTGAAAACTGGGAGCATGGTCCGACCTGTCACCCATGGGATCCCACGTGCTGCAATCCACCTGATGGCACAGCAGGCCTGCTGCCCCAGCACAGCTGGGTCCCCCACAAACAGGGGCTTTCACAAAGAGGAGAGGCCAATCAGGAAGGCAGACTGGACTCCCACAAACCACTGAGCGGGCCTGGAGGAAAACCCATGCCGGGATTCACAGCAAGGCCCCTGACCTGAAGCCATGTCCCTAGGGAGTGGGGGCTCTGAGGGCTGAGGCTGGGTCAGCCTTTCCTCGGCATCCCAGGGTGTGGCTCTCAAGGGCCTGTGGGGTCCAGCTGAGGAGATGCCAGTGGTCTCTGCTTCAGCAGCCAACAGTCCAGGGAGATCCGTGGACTTGGACTTGCTTGGACTCCATGATGACCACCCAGCTTGCCCAGAGGCAGCCAGCACACCCCACACAGACACACTGAGCTCTGCATTTGGGAAGAACTGAGAGCCGCCAGCCCTAACCACCACAGCCCCCCTCTGCCACCTGACAGACCTCAGACAGGACTGTGAACCACCACCCCTAACCACCACAGCCCCCCTCTGCCACCTG